ACTGTTTCTTTTGCAGTACAGAAACTTCTCAATTTGATGTAATCCTAATAGTTGATTTTGGCTTTGACTGCCTGTGCCTCCATGGTCTTTTCCAAGAAGTCTTTGCCTATACCTATATCTTGTAGGGTTTCTCCAATGTTCTGTAATAATTTGATGGTGTCGGTCATACATTTAGATTTTTATTCCATGTTGAGTGGATTTTTGTGTAAGGTGTAAGGTAGGGGGTCTTGCTTAATGCTTCTGAATGTGGCAATCCAGTTTTCCCAGCACCATTTGTTGAATAGACTGTCATTGCTTGGGATTTGTTTTAGATACTTGATCGAATATAAGTTGGCTGTAGATGTTTGGGTTGATTTCTGGTGTTTCTATTCTGTTCCATTGGTCCATCCATCTGTTTCTGTACAAGGACCATGCTGTTTTGAATATAACTGCCCTGCAGTATGTCCTGAAATCTGGTTGTGATGCTTCCAGCTTTGTTTTTTGTTGTACAAAATTGCTTTAGCTATTCAAGGTCTCTTGCATCTCCATATGAATTTCAGCATCATTTTTTCCAGATCTGAGAAGAATGTCTTTGCTATTTTGATTGGTGTTTCATTGAATCTATAAATTGATTTTGGGAGAATGGACATTTGGATGATTTGGATTCTTCCAATCCATGGTCATGGAAAATTTTTCCTTTTTTTTGGTATCCTCTTCTATTTCTTTCTTTAAGATTTTGTAATTCTCATTGTAGCGATCTTTGATATCCTTGGTTAAGTTTACTCCAAGGTATTTGATTGTTTTTGTGGCTATTGTAAATGAGATTGATCTTAGAAGTTCAGCCATGGCATTGCCTGTGTATACAAATGCTGTTGATTTTTGTGCATTGATTTTATATCCTGCTACTTTTCCAAACTCTTCTATGATTTCCAATAGTCTCTTAGGTGAGTTCTTTGGATCCGTTAAATAAGGAATCATATAATCTGCAAAGAGGGATAGTTTGACTTCTTCCTTCCCAATTTGTATCCCTTTAATTACTTTTTATTGCCTAATGGCTCTGGCTAAAACTTCCCAGAACTATATTGAATAGCAGTGGTGAGAGTGGGCATCCCTGTCTGGTACCAGATCTCAGTGGAAATGCTTCCAACTTTTCCCCATTCAATAGGATGCTGGCCATGGGTTTTTCATAAATTGCCTTGATTGTATTGAGGAATATTCCTTCTATACCCAATTTGCTTAGAGTTTTCATCATGAAAGGTTGTTGTATTTTATCAAATGCTTTCTTGGCATCTATTGAGATAATCATATGGTTTTTCTTCTGCAGTCTGTTAATGTGGTGTATCACATTGATTGATTTGCACACATTGAACCATCCCTGCATACCAGGGTTAAATCCCACTTGGTCTGGGTGGATGATCTTTCTGATGTGTTGTTGCATTCTATTGGCGAGAATTTTATTGAGGATTTTTGCGTCTATGTTCATCAGGGAAATTGGTTTGTAATTCTCTTTCAATGCTGCATCTTTTTCATGTTTAGGAATTAAGGTGATGCTGGCTTCATAGAAAGAATTTGGGAGGATTCCCTCTTTTTCAATTGTTCTGAGTAGTTTGAGAAGAATTGGAGTGAGTTCTTCTTTAAATGTCTGGTAGAATTCAGCAGTGAATCCATCTGGTCCTGGGCTTTTCTTTGTTGGGAGGGCCTTTATTTCTGATTCAATTTCTGTCTCAGTTATGGGTCTGTCTAGGTTTTCTATGTCTTCCTGGTTCAATTTCTGTAGGTTTTATGAGTATAGGAATCTATCCATTTCTGATAGATTTCCCTGTTTGGTGGCATACAACTCTTTGTAGTAATCTCTGATGATTCTTTTTATTTCTGTGGTGTCTGTTGTTACGTTTCCTTTTTCATCTCTGATTTTATTGGTTTGGGTCTTTTCTCTTGTTTTTTTAGTTAGTTGGGCCAATGGGGTGTCAATTTTGTTTGTTTGTTTCAAAAAACCAGTTCTTCAATTTGCTGATATTTTGTAATTTTTTTTAAAGATTTATTTATTTATTTTTTTTTAAACTTTTATTTAATGAATATAAATTTCCAAAGTACGACTTATGGATTACAATGGCTTCCCCCCGATACCGTCCTTCCCACCCATAACCCTCCCCTTTCCCACTCCCTCTCCCCTTCCATTCACATCAAGATTCATTTTCGATTATCTTAATATACAGAAGATCAGCTTAGTATACATCAAGTATGGATTTCAACAGTTTGCTCCCACACAGAAACATAAAGTGAAAAATAATAGATGATTTTTTTTAAATGATGATGAAATCAGAGCAGACCTATTGTCATGTTTAATCCCAGTGAGAGTCAAGTTGGGAATTGATAATTTCTTTCTTTCTTTCTTTTTTTTTTTTTTTTTTTTTTTTTTTTTTTACAGAGGATCAGTTTAGTATGCATTAAGTAAGGATTTCAACAGTTTGCACCCCCATAGAAACACAAAGTGAAATATATTGTTTGAGTATTCGTTATAGCATTAAATCTCAATACAGAGCACATTAAGGATAGAGATCCTACACGAGGAGTAAGTGCACAGTGACTCCTGTTGTTGACTTTACCAATTGACACTCCTGTCTATGGCATCAGTAATCTCCCTATGCTCCAGTCATGAGTTTCCAAGGCTATGGAAGCCCTCTGAGTTCTCCGACTCTTATCTTGTTTAGACAAGGTCATAGTCAAAGTGGAGGTTCTCTCCTCCCTTCAGAGAAAGGTACCTCCTTCTTTGAAGACCTGTTCTTTCCACTGGGATCTCACTCGCGGAGATCTTTTGCCAGAGTGTCTTGGCTTTCCATGCCTGAAATACTCTCATGGGCTTTTCAGCCAGCTCCGAATGCCTTTAGGGCTGATTCTGAGGCCAGAGTGCTATTTAGGACATCTGCCATTCTATGAGTCTGCTGAGTATCTCACTTCCCATGTTGGATCACTCTCCCCTTTATTTACTCCATCAGTTAGCATTAGCAGGTACTAGACTTGTCTATGTGCTCCCTTTGACTCCCAGTCCCTCCACCATGACCAACTGTGAACTGAAACTGATCACCTGGAACAGTGAGATGGCATTGGTACATGCCACCTCGATGGGATTGAATTGGAATCCCCTGGTATGCTTCCAACTCCACCACTTGGGGCAAGTCAGCCTGAGCATGTCCCAAATTATACATCTCTTTCCTCTCCCATTCCCACTCCCATGTTCAACAGGGATCACATTTCAGTTAATTTTCAACACTTAAGAATAACTGTGCATCAATTACAGAACTAAACCAGTCATATTAAGTAGAACAGATAAAAAAACTACTAAGAGGGATAATGTATTAAGTTGTTCATTAACAGTCAGGGCTATGCTGATCAAGCCACCGTTTCCCATAGTGTCCACCTCACTCCAACAGGTTTCCCTCTTGGTGTTCAGTCAGTCGTCACCGATCAGGGAGAACATATGGTTGGGAAGGAAGAACTCAAACTATCCCTCTTTGCAGATGACATGATTCTGTATTTACGGGACCCAAGGAACTCTACTAAGAGACTATTGGAACTCATAGAAGAGTTTGGCAAAGTAGCAGGGTATAAAATCAATGCACAAAAATCAACAGCCTTTGTATACACAGACAATGCCATGGCTGAGGAAGAACTTCTAAGATCAATCCCATTCACAATAGCTACAAAAACAGTCAAATACCTTGGAATAAACTTAACCAAAGACGTTAAAGATCTCTACGATGAAAATTACAAAACCTTAAAGAAAGAAATAGAAGAGGATACGAAGAAATGGAAAAATCTTCCATGCTCATGGATTGGAAGAATCAATATCATCAAAATGTCCATTCTCCCAAAAGCAATTTATAGATTCAATGCAATCCCAATCAAGATACCAAAGACATTCTTCTCAGATCTGGAAAAAATGGTGCTGAAATTCATATGGAGGCACAAGAGACCTCGAATAGCTAAAGCAATCTTGTACAACAAAAACAAAGCCGGAGGCATCACAATACCAGATTTCAGGACATACTACAGGGCAGTTGTAATCAAAACAGCATGGTACTGGTACAGAAACAGATGGATAGACCAATGGAACAGAATTGAAACACCAGAAATCAACCCAAACATCTACAGCCAACTTATATTTGATCAAGGATCTAAAACTAATTCCTGGAGCAAGGACAGTCTATTCAATAAATGGTGCTGGGAAAATTGGATTTCCACGTGCAGAATCATGAAGCAAGACCCCTACCTTACACCTTACACAAAAATCCACTCAACGTGGATTAAAGACCTAAATCTACGACCTGACACCATCAAGTTACTAGAGAACATTGGAGAAACCCTTCAAGATATTGGCACAGGCAAAGAATTTCTGGAAAAGACCCGGGAGGCACAGGCAGTCAAAGCCAAAATCAACTATTGGGATTGCATCAAATTGAGAAGTTTCTGTACTGCAAAAGAAACAGTCAGGAGAGTGAAGAGACAACTGACAGAATGGGAAAAAATATTTGCAAACTATGCAACAGATAAAGGGTTAATAACCAGAATCTACAAAGAGATCAAGAAACTCCACAAAAACAAAACCAACAACCCACTTAAGAGATGGGCCAAGGACCTCAATAGACATTTTTCAAAAGAGGAAATCCAAATGGCCAACAGACACATGAAAAAATGTTCAAGATCACTAGCAATCAGGGAAATGCAAATCAAAACCACAATGAGGTTTCACCTCACCCCGGTTAGAATGGCTCACATGCAGAAATCTACCAACAACAGATTCTGGCGAGGATGTGGGGAAAAAGGGACACTAACCCACTGTTGGTGGGAATGCAAACTGGTCAAGCCACTATGGAAGTCAGTCTGGAGATTCCTCAGAAACCTGAAGATAACCCTACCGTTCGACCCAGCCATCCCACTCCTTGGAATTTACCCAAAGGAATTTAAATTGGGAAACAAAAAAGAGGTCTGCACCCTAATGTTTATTGCAGCTCAATTCACAATAGCTAAGACCTGGAACCAACCTAAATGCCCATCAACGATAGACTGGATAAAGAAATTATGGGATATGTACTCTTTAGAATACTATACCGCAGTAAGAAACAACGAAATCCAGTCATTTGCAACAAAATGGAGGAATCTGGAACACATCATGCTGAGTGATATTTTGTAATTTTTTTGATTCAATTCTGTTGATTTCTTTTCTAATTTTAATTATTTCTCTTCTCCTACTGGTTTTGAGTCTGGTTTGCTGAAGTTTTTCTAGATCCTTGAGATGAATTGAAAACTCATCTGTTTGGTGCCTTTCCAATTTCTTGATGTAGGCACCTATTGCTATAAATTTTCCTCTTAACACTGCTTTTGCTGTATCCCATAAGTTTAGGTATTTTTTTTGTGCTGTTATCCTCATTTACTTCCAAAAAGTTTTTGATTTCTCTTTTGATTTTTTTCTATGACCAAGTGTTCATTCAAGAGTATGTTGTTCAGTCTCCATCTGTTTGCATATGCTCTAGGGTTTTCTGAGTTGCTAATTTCCAGGTTCATTTCACTGTGTTCTGAGAAGCTGTATGGTATGATTCCAATTCTTTTGAATTTGCTGAGAGTCCCCCAATACTACTGTATTGGAGTCTAAGTCTCCCTTTAAGTTCCTAAATATATCTTTTAAATAAACCGGTGCCCTGTAATTAGGTGTGTATATGGTTTTAATAGTTACATCTTCCTGTTGAATTGATCCCTTAATCATTATATAATGCCCCTCTTTGTCTCTCTTAACAGTTTTTGTGTTAAAGTTTATTTTGTCTGATATTAAGATGACTACACCAGCTCTTTTTTGGTTTCTGTTGGCATGAACTATCTTTTTCCAACCTTTCACTTTCAAACTGCATGCATCATTGTTAGAAAGATGTGTTTCTTTTTTTTTTTTTTGAAAATCAAACAACAATTTGTTTATTACTAAAACCATACTCAATCCTCAGCAAAATCAAGGAAAGCAATTAGAGTGTGTTTTATATTCCTGGCTTTTTGTATTGATGCATACAATTTGGGGTAAAGAAGATGTAATTGTCTATCACAAAATGCAGGTATATATATTGAGAAACTTAGTTACATCCCATCAAAGCACCTTGTACTACAAGGCAAGGAAACTATAATGAAATCAATGAAGACTTTCATACCAAAAAAGATTTTATGTATTCTAAAATACCCGTATTACTCTTTTAGGTGTTTCTTTCTTAAATCATGCAGAGAATATGTTCTGTGTAAAATCTTTCTAAGATCATTTATTGGAAATATAGAATTTAAAAAAATAGCAACACCTAAAAACTTAATATAGCAATTCAAAGTCAATATAATGGCACATAAAATGAAGTGAAAAACCAAAATATATACTTTTTCTTAAATAGTATTGTTTATTATATCCAACTTGAAATGTCCAAACTCTGAAAGCTTATTTTTATCATATTATCCTTTCTTCAGATGTAATCAATATTATCATACTAGGATATATAAGTATAGAAAGAAACTGCTACTCGCATTTCCTAAAGTCATCTACTCAAATTAATTGTGCTTACTATTAGACAATAAAACTCAAAGTAGTCACAGAAATAAATAACACTAGAAAAGGGAACACTATTTTCAATTTGTCCCTCCTCATGCTCCCTTCACACCTGCTGAGAATTCACAAAAAAAAAAGGCCTTAATATTTTCACAGATAATGAAGTAGGCTTAAAGCATTCAAAATACAATATTTTGAAAAGTGAAAATCTCCAATAGGAAACAATGCTATAAAGAAAAGAGCTAAAATAATGTAATTGGTAACATGACAGAACCAATAAATTGGTCTGGAAAAGCAGAAGGCAGATGATGAAATTGCACTTAATTCTGAAGCAAGTCAGATCTATCCTATCATTCCTACTGCTTTCTAACAAAATAAGCATTTACAACATGGTTTTTCCCTTCCCTTACAAAAAGGCTCAGCACAACCATTTATACATTCTAGTTGGTTTTTAACATTTGGTCATAACTGATAAACAAGGTCACACAATTTTACCCTATCGAGTCTGCTGATCTGTATCATACTGCTGCATGGCAGAATCAGACAGTTCTAATACAGGATTTACAAACCCAGAATACTCAGAATTGCCATTATCATCCATTTCCGCACTAACAAAATCATTCTCCCACTCCAGCCCATTGGAATCATCAGAGGCTGATGTCGGATTACTTCCAGTCTTCTTGCTGCTGCACTTCAGTGCTGCCCGGAGAATGTCTTCCTCTGTTTTGGAACATTCTCTCATGGGAAGCATTCTAGTCATCCCTTCTTCATCTTCCCACTCTAGGTCTAAGGATGTGCTGTCATCATTTCCACTAGTTGATTTAGTTTTGGTCATTAAATCACAACTGCTTTCTGTATTTGGTGTAAGAAATGTGGCATCAGACGAGAGTCTACTACTTCGAAAAACTTCATACTGTGACTTTATATTTCTCAAACAAGATTCAAAGTCATCTTCTGGTCCTGAACTTCGATATTCTCCATTGTTGGAAGGATGACATCGCTGTGCAACTCTCTGCCTTTCTTGCTCTTTTTGAATTTTCTTATCAATGTCTTTCTGTTTTTCAGCAATAGAATCATAATGTCTTTCTCTTAGGTCAACAATTTCTTCCTCAGTAAGAGGTCTATGACTGCTTTCTGGACTTTCCCCTTCATCACTTTCTACTAGATTCTCAAACTCTATAGTTAAGTGCTCACCTCCTGAGCATGTTCTAAAATACTTGGATCCTCCGCCGCCTCCTACACGCTGCAGCCGCCCCGCTTCTTTGCGGAGCAGCCCGAAGCACTGTGTCCAGCAGCAGTTCCCCATCGCATGCCGCCCAGGGGCCGCCGCTCCTCCACCACCTCCCTCTCAAAACCCAAACCCAGGTCTGGCAGCCACATCCGCGCGGTGCGAGCTGAAAGGGGGTTCGGGGGACCGAGCGCGGGCCGGCCGGAGCGCGGTGGCCAGAGGGTTGGGGCGACAGGAGGGACGAGGCGCTCGGAACAAAGGCAGCGGTTACTCCAGGGGCCGCCAAGTCGATGCCACGTGAGGGAGGAGCGCCGGGCTGAGGGCTCCGGGCTCCTTCGTGGTCCGCATGGCCCCTATAGCCTCAGCGCCCAGCGCAGCAGCAGTGACCGCCTCCAGCCGCCAGAGAAGGCCCAGATGTGTTTCTTGTAAGCAGCAAATAGATGGGTTTTGTGTTTTAAACCATTCAGCCAGTCTGTGCCTTTTAAGTGGAGAGTTGAGGTCATTTACATTCAATGTGACTATTGATAAGTAGTGACTTTGCCCTGCCATTTTCCCAAAGACAGTTCTAATATATGCTTTGAACTTCCTGTGGTCTTTTACTGGGAGATTTTCTTCCTTTACCATCTTTCGTACTGATGGCCGTGTTTCTGTGTTTCTGTGTGCAACACATCTTTAAGCATCTTTTGAGTGCTGGATGAATAGTGACAAATTCTTTATATTTCTGTTTGCTACGAAAGGTCTTTATTTCACCTTCCTTCACAAATGGGAGCTTTGCAGGATATAATATTCTGGGCTGGCAGTTTTTCTCTCTTAGTACCTGGACTATATCTCGACATTCCCTCCTAGCCTGTAGGGTTTCTGATGAGAAATCTGCTGTGAGTCTAATTGGAAATCCTCTGAGAGAAATCTGACCTTTCTCTCTTGCACATTTTAGAATCTTTTCTCTATGTTTCACTGTGGTGAGTTTGATTACAATGTGTCATGGTGAAGATCTCTTTTGGTCATGTTTACTGGGAGTTCTATGTGTTTCCTGTACTAGGATGTCTCTGTCCTTCTCCAAACCTGGGAAATTCTCTGCTAGTATCTCACTAAAAAGGCCTTCTAATCCTTTCTCTCTCTCTTTATGCCTTCAGGAACTCCTAGAGCCCGAATGTTGGCTTAATAGTATCCTGTAGATTCCCAACAATAGTTTTTAGATTTCTAATTTCTTCTTCTTTTCTTTGGTTTGACTGTATACTTTCCTGTGCTCTGTCTTCCAAGTCTGATATTCTCTTTTCTATCTCACTGATTCTGTTTTTAAGGCTCTCAAATGTGTTTTTCATTTGTTCTATTGAATTCTTCATTTCATTTTGATTTCTCTTCAATATCTCAATTTAATGTTCTACAAAATTCCTCATTTCATTTTGACTCCTCCTTAAGATTTCATTTTCATGAGATTTTCTGTCCTCTCCTGTATGGATTTTTGTAGTTCATGCATTTATTTTTGATAGTTTCTAAATGTTCTTATCATAAATTCTTTGAAATCTGTTTCTTGCATTTCTTCTATCTCATCATCTTCATAATCTTGCATTGGAGTGTCATGTTCATTTGGGAGCATCATGATTTCTTCCTTGTTCTTGTTTCATTGGTGTCTGCATTTATTGTTGGCATTGTGGAGATATTCTTTAGTTTCTTCTTTTTTTCTCACTGTGGTGGCTTTTCTCATTATACTGTGACTCTAGATTAAATGGACTGTCTGCTTTTGGTGAATTGCTAGAGGCTTGGTGGGTGTAGCCAGAGAGCTCTATTCAGTTCTTCAGGGTTAAGGGTGTGCCAAAGGTGACACACCTGGGTTTGGCATGTTAAATCTTCTCTCTCTCTATCTCTCTCTTTTTTTATTCAGAAGGGAAGTAATTCCACTCAGCTGAGCTCTTCTCCGTGATGGCAATCAGTGCCTGAGCACCATCCCCAGTGGATATAATATTTGTCTGCTCTGTCCCAAGGACCACACAAAGGATCTGTGCAGTCCTCAGTGTAAGCTCAGATTCTCCTGCAATGTCTCTCACCAGGTTGCCAAGGTTACCGAGTTTGTGGTGTCTCCCACTGAAACTACTCATGTCTCAGCCACACCATGAGTTCTCCCACACACCCTCAGTTTTTTTTTTTTTTTTCACAGTCCCGGTTCAAAAGCTCCACACATTCACTAGGTCTTAGTCTCCTGTTATTTCTCCCCACCAGAGTCAGGTTTTTCTGTTTGGTTGAGCATGGGCGAAGCCCTGAGTTGGCACAGCTGTTATGTATGTCCAAAATGGCACCTGCTCTGTTGTCTTGCTTGCCTTTGTAAGGTGAGTGGAGAGAGAGAATCGTCTCTGTACCATTTCCTTTTATTTATTTATTTATTTTTTTATCTCCTCTAGTTAGGCTGGTGTACTTTCCCCCATGGGGCTTCAAGCCTCGTTCCCTTTAGGCTCTTTCTGCTACTATTCTGCCAGTGTCTCGGGCTACTGTGGTTTTGCCTCACCTCCCTTTCCAGCACTGGTACGTAGACTCAGCAGCTGGGATCCCGAGCCATGGGTGCCCGTGCCCTCCATATGGGTTTACCATGTCCCACTAATTCTGGAAGAGTTTCCTATGCAGTTTTTTCCCTAACTCTTCCCTGAGACTACAGTATCTCCACTTTTATTAAACTATCTTTTCCTGGACTATCAGTGAGTTCCCTCCCTATTCCGCCATCTTGGAGCCCTCCTTCTTTTATAATTTCTCAAATGCATATTATCTAATGTATGTGTTAGAGTATCAGTTGGCATAAATTCAGGAAATTATTACATATTTGAAAATCTGTTTTCTAAAAGTTCATGTATATTATGGTTCATGGTATTTATAAATATATAATGAATGCTACAGTCTGTACTCACCTTGTTTTCAGCCTTAGAATCACCTAGAAAATGGCCTGATGCTTGAAAACACAGCAGACATCACACAATCATGAGACCATACAAATAAGAACAAATGTTAACATCTACTAACAGTAGAATAAAAAGCCTGGAAGAGCCTGGGACCTCAATGGAATCCTTGAAGAATTCTATTAGTTCTGACTGCCTACTTTGGTACATCTTAGTGTATCAGAAAAATAATTCACTACTTGTTCATTTCACTGAAGTTTGACTTCTGTTATTTGCAGAAAAACACATCCTGTCAATTAATGAAGACTGATAATTCTGGGTGAGATAAGGAGAGCCCTCTTTCCAACCCCTGCCCTAGAGAACAGATGACAGATGACTCAGCTGATAGAATGTAGTGTTGTTTAAACTAATAGAAACTAGGGTCGTTAAACTCACAGGAATAGAATGGCCAGAAGATCTTTAGAGAATTTCAATGCCTATTATTCAATATTGTTTGCAGTGTTGCACTGTTGTCAAAAAAAGGTAACCTTACTAATCATTTGTGAATGGAATCTTATGGAAATTAGAGAAAGAATTAATTCCTCATCTGTATCAAAACACACACAATGGAAAAGTATGGAAGTAGGCATCCCAAGGTCAAACAGAATTCACAGAAATTTTGGGGTAGCTCTAGGCCTATACACATTGTGCCATCTAGTCTAGGAATTTGAGACAATTTTACTAGGGTATTTGTGATTAGAAGATTTTTGGATGACATTTGAACTGTATGTCTTTAATCCAATGATTTTACAATAAATTGGTCAAATTGAAAAAATCCTATTTGTATACATTCAATACTGAGAAGTTAGAATGTTTTTAAATGTTTTATTTTTCACCTTCTAAATAGGGGAAAAACAAGATAAAATATTGATTCTTATGAATGTTATATAAACATATAATCAGTAAGGAATGACATTTATGCTAGATATTATACAACCTAAAATAACCTCAATTCTATCTTTTTTCCAGTTGGAGGGTTAAAAAAGTTTAAGCTATATTTCTGGGGTGGGTATATGGCTTAGCAGTTGATACACCACTTGGGATATCCATACCCATACTGGAGTTCCAGGGTTTGAATCCTGGCTCTGCTCCCAATTCTAGTTTCCTGCTAACGTGCACCCTGGGAGATAGCAGATGATGACTCAAGTAGTTGGGTCTCTGCCACCCATGCAGGAGACCAAGACTGAATTATTGGCTCTAGGCTTCAAGCTGTCAGCCCTCAAGGAATTTGGTGAGAGAGCCAGCAAATGTGAATGCTCTCTCCCTGTCTCACTGCTTCTCAAATAAATTTTTAATATATCTAAAACATCCTTCATTTCTTAGACTCCATTGCAGCTAGGCTTCTGGATTTGAATCCAATATTTCTCCCAGGAGAGACTTGAGAGGTGAAAGTAAAGTTGAAAGCATCTTTTTTTGTGGTTCTTGGCTGCTTGCTGACATGTTGAGTTCTGCAAGTGTGAGCTTCCTCATAGCAGTATCCCATTCTTCAGTTTCTTGGGTGTTTAGACGAGTTATAACTTTAAAAAAATGTTGTTCCTATTTCTGGGGATGGTGTCCTATTCCAAATCTGGGTCCCTATGGCCATGTGTGATTGGAAACTGGGGCGTATGTTTACTTAGGCGAAAGTCTCTCTCTCCAGTGACTCAGAATTAGCACATAGATTCTTGTTCTGGGGTTCTCAAATTTCAGATTCTTAAGAACGATGAACAGAACTTGTTAAAACTGAAGAATTCAGTGCTGTACTTTTCATGCCTCTCAGAAATGTCCATTTTCAACAAAGCACCTCCATGAGATTCTGATGGAGATGGCACCTTTGAAGAGGCATAGCGCAGTTCACGGGGCGCGGTTTGTTGCTGTGCAGTTCAATTGAGAGGCATATGGAGCTGGGACTACAGCAACGACTACCTGCCTATAGAAGCAAAGAAAAGTGAGTCTACTTCATAGGGGTTAACATGAGGGAGAAGTAGAGATAAGAGGCAGAGTGCCCTGATTCTTCTTAGCTCTTGTTCTCATAGACTCCTTTGAGTTCTAGCTACATTCCCTGACCTTGGGTATCATATTCTCACCAAGATCTTAAAATACCTCCTTTTTAATTTAATCTACCCTGAATTTTTTTCTCTTTCTTCTATTTTTTTTTAAAGATAAAACAGTGAATCAATTCTTGTGAATCAGGAATTCTTATCAATCTGTTGAAGATATGTTAGTTCTGTTGTATATTTGTGAAGTTTTTTTTTTTTTTAAGATTTATTTGAAAGGCAGAGAGAGAGAAAAAAATCTTGTATCTGCCAGTTCACTCCCCAAATGGCCCTAAAGTCCAGGGCTGGGATGTGCTGAGCTAAAGCTGGAACTTCTTCCAGGTCTCCCACATGGATGCAGGGCCATCTTCTGCTGTTTTCCCAGGCACATTAGCGGAAAGCTGGATCTGAGGGAGAGCAGGTGGGACTTAAACTGGCATCTGAATGGGATGCCAAAG